TTCCAGTATGACCATTGTGCGTCATCCTTTATCAAAACACTGAATAAAGAATGAACTTGCATTTTTTTATTATAATAATAATCCTTGCATTTCATAATGCATTTCACATTAGGAGAAAGTATCAAATGTTTCGCCTGGTTTACTGTAAATTGTGTTTTGTAGGCAAATGGTCTCTGATACAATAAAAAAAACTATTTTTACAGTAATTACTATCAAGTACAGACATGTTTTTATGGGTAAATTCCAATTTAAACAAAGCAAATCCACAGAAACAGCAAACAGTGAAAGGCCAATTAAACTGGGTATTTATTGGCTTGATCACCAGAGGTAACTCTCTTCTGTTCTTCTATAGCATCATAGGATATAATAATAATCCTTACATTTGATATTATGCCTTATCATGTCGTCAAAATGTTTGAAAGTTTGAAACAGGATTTACTGTAAAGTGTAGTGACTTGTGTATTTGTAGGTGAACATGGCTGTCAATTTGCAATGTTGCTCAAACAACCATGAATTGAAAGACCAGTGACTTTCCCCAAAGGAATAAGAAAAAATAAGTTACTCTGACTTGCTCTTTGACATTCCCCATTCAAATGCCAATTGAAATGTAACATATGTAGAAGCCGTTCCATCCTATTGAATGTAAAATGGTGCATGATGCTGGGTAACTTTAAGAGAGGGGTATTAAAAGTTATTTATAAATGGAAAAATCTTCCTTGACGGAATATTAGTTAAAGGCAATGCAGGAGCTGCACAGACAAGGAAAGAATCAGCCAGGGTCCCACCTCAGATCCTCTCCACTGCAACCGCATATGCTTCAAATGGCCTTTCAATGCTTCCTATTTATGCTCGTGATGAAGAATGGGACATGGGCAAAGTGCTGGGTGGGGGGGCTCCCAACCCCAGTGTAATATACCTCAACACAAGTAGCCACCAATAGGAGAAGGGAGAAAAGTTTGGGGGAAAAAAAGAGAAAATTTGAAATGAAAAGGTCCCATTGTCAGGAAAACAAAAAGGGGTTCATTTGCTCACAGAAAAATCCCCACAAGACTTCCACTCATGTTAATTAAATTATAAATAATGTTTTTGTGCAATAAAATGCACTTGCATTAAATATTAATGTTACTGAATGTTTTTAAGTAACAAATGGTAGATGCACAGCCACATACATTTATACGTACACACACACACACAAAAATCTTGCTGTCTCTGGTTAGTTAAGACTTTGAAACTGTTTATATGCTGTATATTATTTTAAAATCTCCTGAACTGCACAATCGATTCTCATAAAAGAACGAGAATATTAGTTTCATTAAAAATGACAGAACAGAGAGATTTAAAGGATTCCCTGTGGCGTGATCCCTAATGGATCACCTGCTAACCCATTTTGGGTTATTAAATCCCTCGAGTTATTGAACTGCCTGAAGGAAGGGATTAAGAAGGTTACTCACAATCTGCCATCTGTTAGGAATATTTCCTAATTAACTGTTGCAGGATGTAACATCAGATTTGTGTTTTGAAATATGAATAATGCATGTGGAATTGTTCTATCTACACAAATCATTCTGTAATCATTTTCCTATATTTTTCTACAATTATTAGTAAAATTTTTGTAAATTATCCATACTTTAAATTGTATTTCTGCCAAATCATTTGTTTCAGATGTACCTCATTTACATCTGAAACAAATAATAATAATAATAATCCTAGCATTTGATATAGCACTTTTCACGTGTTCTAAATGTCTCAAAGCGTTTCACAGAAAATACTGTAAAGTGAATTGACTGTATATTTGTGGGCAAAACGCGGCAGCCAAATTGTGCACAGCAGTGTCCCACAAACAGTCATGGATTGCAGTGACCAATTTTATTATTGTTTTTTTTTCTTGAGGGATTATTATCAGGCACGTGGAGTAAGGAAACTTCCCAAGGTTTCGCTCTGCCGGGAATCAAACCCAGGCCTCTTGTTTGTGAGGCGAGTGCTACAGGACTCCACAAATCTACCTATAATACCTCCCTTTAAGGTTTGAGTACAGGATTTGAGGTGCGGTGCAAAACAGAAATAAAAAGCTTAGGAACAATTTGGAGATAAGGTATCTATGTATGGTATTTAGTTGGATTTTTATGATCTGATCCAATGATATTCATTTGTTAGCTTTGTCATCACAAAGCATTCAATTTGAAAATATCAGCTACATTTCCTAGGCAAATATTAAACAAGGGATGGCAAATTCTTTTTCATTTGGTTGAGTGATCCCAGAGTTTTTTTACAGCACCCTGGATCTTTGTTGTGCTCTGCTACCAATTGGCAGGATGTTGTTTTGAACCTACAACTCAGTTATAGGATGCCAGGCCCTTCCCAACTGTGTGGAGACTCAGTGTCCCGGTCCGACATCACATTCAGCACTGCTCTGCCTAAGTGTATATTTCTGCTGCATTGTCAGGACTTGACATGATGACTTCACATAATCACAAGAGAGATTTGGATGAAACAGTGCTTCTTCAGGACTGTGTCCATGCAAACATTGGTGTCCAACACAACCTCTAGGTACCGATAAGAATCAATAATTGGACAGTTGGACAGTATCTTCCAATCAATACCCTTAATGTCTTCTTTTGAGTCTGCAGAAACATGATTCCGTATTTGGGGTCACTCACCATCATCTCCCAAGATGGTGAGTGCAGTGCAAAAATGAGTCAAGCACAATGTTGTCCGTAAACAGAAGTGTTGCAATCCTGTCAGAAAGATTTGGAACACAAAATCGACCCCTCAATGCCATCCAGCATGTCATCTATACACCGAATAGGATAGATGACATTGGGCTGCCCTTTCAAGAGGGATGGGCTCAGTGAGTCCATCAGCGATCTGGATCTCAGAGATAAAATTCCAGATAAAATCCAAGATTTGGCCATGTGACCCCATGGCTTCCAGTTTCATCATAGGAGCTTCATGAGGAACTAGGTCGAAAGCCTTGCGAAAGTCGATAAACGCATCATAGATGGGTTTCTCCTTAGTTTTACGACATTCTGCAATCTCATACAAAGCCACAATCTCGCTCACACATTCTTCACAAGAATGGAAGCCAGCTTCTTCCTTCCTGATCAAACCACGAGCCCCCAGTGTAAGCAGTACATACACAGTAACTACGCGAATAATAATTTGAAAAGTCAATAAAATCAGTGAGATTCCTCTGTAGTTCTCGTTGTCACTAGGGTCACATTTCTTTGTGGATAGAAACCAGAATTAGTGCATGCCTCAGAGAACGACTTGTTGACCAGCACTAGGAGGGCAGCTCCAAGGAGTGTTGGAGGTTCTTGTGTCGGATCTGTAAAATCCTGAATGTTCTCTGTTCTCTCCCCCAGCCCCCAGAGCAGCTTTTAGAAACTCGGTGTTAATGCCATCTGCACCTGCTGCCTTACCATTAGAAAGGCGCTGCAGTGTGAAGTCCACCTCCTCCCAATGGATTGAGTCGTTAAGGCCTTCAATCTGTTCTACACCTTCCCTCAGCTCTCCCAACAACAACTCTCTGCTTCCTTCCCTTCAGCCAATCTGTATCTATTTCCATGTCTTCCGCTTGATACCTAGTGACATGGTAATAGATACAAACTGGGGGAGTCTTTCATGTGATACTTCGTTAAAAAGCCTTTTGGATGTCCAGTCAGTCAATTTGAGCTGTCATCTCGTAGTAAACGTTTATGAGGTTGGTCAGACAAGATTGACCATTTCTGAACGCGTGTTAGTTGTTATTTATTAGATAATTTTTATACTTCCCAGAGGCGGAGTGGGGGGGGGGAGGGAGTCACTTTGAGGTCAGTCAAAAATTGGCCAAACCTCACTCACTAATCTGTACTTTTTCACAATTACCCACAGCCTGCCCACTGACTGACCGGCAGCCTCTTCCAACAATAACGGCCCCGTATCAATTGAAAGCCAGCTATCAGCCATAACTTGCCCACTGACTGCCCAGTCTGCCAATCAGTGACATTTTTGAAGGAAGTGGAGACGTGGAACTAAATCAGCAAAATCTTGACCTCGACATCCGCCCCCCCCCCCCCCCGCAACCCCCAACCCTCCTTCCTTCAACCCGAGATTCACCCCTGAATCTTCCACTTTGTTTCTAATGCTTGACTCCATAATATATATATATATATAGTATGCATGTCACATTGGATTTGAAAAGACAGCTGCAAGGAAGGTGAATTTCAGCTCATTTTTCAATATCTTCACTGTGGTGTACCTAAAATTTCTAAGAACTCTTCACGTAATTGAGTAATCATGAATAATACAATTATTAAATATATGGAGGGCATCACAACTGAGTTCAATTCTTTGACCACATACATATACACATTTTCCAACAGATAATGATCAGGAGCAAAGAATGTAGAGTAGGGATAGCACAGCACCAAAGTTTCGCTGGACAGGTTTTCAGTGTAAAGGTTACAGCATGTAAACAATAATACTGTACTAATGTATGTGCGATACTGATTTTCATTCCACCTGTGCAAGATACTAATCTGACATTTTTCACAAGCCATTGACAGGTGAGTTGCAAAATTAAATGTGTCTGCACTGTACACTCAACATTAGTGAGCTCACAGTTGTAACCATACCAAGTCGCACTTAGTTTCTGGCCACTTTGTGGAACTCATTCAGCGGAAATAGAAAAGAATGGCATACTCCAAATGTTTCATTATTTGCTGCCTGTCTCCCTCTCTGTGAGTATTGTGTCCAGTTTGGGCACTTTACTATATTAAGGATGTCAAGACCACTGGGGATGAGTTTGTTCTTATGAGGAGAAACTGGAGAAGTTAGGAATGCTTCACTTAAAATAGGGATAATTGAGAGGAGACCTGATAGAAGATTTTTAAAATTATGTGTTTTGATCGCATATTACAAAGATAAATAAATTCTACTGGTTGGTGAGTTGATAACTAGAGAGTGTAAATTTCAGGTAGTTAACAAAAGAGCAAAGGCAGAGGTTAAAAATGTTTACTCACAACATTGCTAGGATGTGGCATGTCCAACCTACAAGGATGGCTGAGGCAGAATCTGTATTAGCTTTCATTAGATTAATATCTGAAAAGCAGAAGTACGGAGAAAATGAATAATAATAAGAATGGGACTAACCATTCAGCTGTTTCAATCCTGGGAAGCAGGGCTTCTTTTCACTTGATTCTTGTTAACCCTGCAAACCAAGCATGCACCATTAACTGAGTAGCCTCCCATGATGTTATCTTCTATGGTTCTACGAATAGCTCCGTTCTTGAGTTGTGTGTAGACGTGATAAGGTGCTGTATGAAATGCAAGCAATATCATTATTTATGCAAACATGTTTGTGCGTGGGGGACAAGTGGGGGGGGGATCTAAAAAACACTGTACTCAATACATATTTGTGCGTTGAGAAACTTGAATGGTGATTTTCAAATTATGTATCAAACGCATGTAGTTTCTGCAAAATCAATAAAGATTATTTCCTTTGTAGGGCTTTCTTTAATCGTTAAATCAAAGGCAATGCTCCACACACTGCAAGCATTGGCATTGTTCATCTGTGGAAAATCACTCTCAGGAACAACTTACCTTTAAGATATTTTGGCAGCATAACATCATGAACCAGTGGACATTTGTTCCACGTGATGCCAGGCTCCCCTCACAGGCACTCTATTAAAGAAAACAAATATTTGTGAGACATGTCTGTTTTTTATCTTGTACCTTTCCCAAGTTGCCATAATTGTGAGGCTCAACAGTGAGGCCCACAAGCTATTTGATCACAGCACAGGAATATGACAGCTGAGCCCAATCCTGTCCTCAACCAGCACTCACAAGTGTGGGGATCGGACTTGCGCACTTCTGTATGACTCAGCTGTTCATTAAATAAATTTGCTGCGCAATAGTGGAGCTTTATTAACAAATTACTTTCAATTGTCATGCTTTCAAGAAAGAAAACAGTTGACAGTGTCTATTAGATATAGTCGCAATATTGACAGTGTCTATTGGATATTGCCCTGGAGTGTTCTGCACAATGCTGAATATAATTTGTTGAACACAATAAATTCAATTCATGATGAAAGCCATTTAAGTTAATGGAAAAGTGAAAGTATCAATTGCTACCAAAATAATATCAAAAAATGTATCCAAAGCAATAAAGGAATTCACGATAATCCACTATCTATGCATTTTTTTTGTTCTCAGCTGGGCCAGCAGGAGTGCTACCATTTCTTTCAGCACTTCCAAGCAGCAGTTCCTATGAGATTTGTGTATATCCTCAGAGGATCCTTCTGCAGCTGTCTCAGTAGCCCAGTTCCTGAGTCTGCATGTCCTTAGAGGTAGAGATTATTTCCACTTTACTCTTCATAAATATACAGTCAATTCACTTTACAGTATATTCTGTGAAGCGCTTTGAGATGTCTAGAAGATGTAAAAAGCCCTATATCAAATGCAAGGATTATTATTAATATAAACAAAAACAGAAGTCGCTGGGAACACTCAGCAGGTCAGGCAGTATCTATGGTGAAAGGAAAGTGAGTCAATATTTTGGGTCCATGACCTTTTGTCAGAACAGTTTCGTTTTGCATTTTATTAGTATAACTCTTCAAGCGTTCTCCTGTTCTTCACAGTCCTGAGCACAATTAGAGACTGGGATATGAATCCAAGTCACACAGGTCATCTCTTCAGGTTGCATGATTCTCACTTTTCACACACAAACACCCTTCTTGACACATTAAAACTTTGCATTTAACCACCCACTCATAGGAAGTTCAGGAGGAACTTCCTCACACAGAGGGTGATGAGAACATGAAATTCACTGCAGGAAGCCTTGGTTGAAACAAAAAGCATCAATGTGTTTAAGAGGAAACTCTAATCATACACTAGGAAGGGGATTTTTGGGTCAGTCCAGTGTCTGACACATTCAGAAACCCATCACCATGCTTAACCCCATCTCCACTACATAGCCTGGCTCCGCCACTGTCTCACACCACAGGCCGCCGAAACCCTTATACACGCTTTCATTACATCGAGCTTGACTATGCAAACTCACTGCTTGTCGTCCTCCCCAACTCCTCCCTCCATAGATGCAGACCATCCAGAACTCTGCAGCTCATGTCCTCTTCCACACTGAGCTCCGCTACCCCCTCGATCCCATCCTCGCCTGACTCCACTGGCTTCCCATCACACAGAGGATACAGTTCAATATCCTTCAAAGCCCTCCATGGTCTTGCTCCCCCCTATCTCTGCAACCTCCTAACCTGCTACCATCCTGTTTGTTCCCTCTGCTCAGTGTGCTCCGGCCTGCTTCATGTCCCCCGCCTTGCTCACCCCATTATTGGTGGACGGGCCTTCGGCCACTCTGCCCCAACCCTCTGGAACTCCATCCCACAGTCCCTCCGCCTCACCTGCTCCCTTTCCACCTTCAAGACCCATCTCAAGGCCCTCCTCTTAGACCGTGCTTTCGATCTCCTTGCTTCCCCCCCTGACCTCCACCCTCCCCGACCTTGACCCCCAGCTCAGGTCTGAAACTCTGTCTGTCCAGCGCCTTGGGATGTCCTCCCGACGTGAAATGTAATTTTGTCGTTGTTGTTAAGAGTATCCAAACCAAATAGAGAATTCCATGTATCTCACCTATACATGGAAATCCCAGATAGATTGTTGCAATGTAATGTGCGCTCTCTCCCTGGAGGGATGCATCCTGCTTATCTAATTCCGTAAAGTATTGGTTGCAGGTTGGCAAGTGCTAAGACTTGGGGACCCCAGAGTGTGCGTTGGAGTCTAACCAGCTAAAACGACATAGCTTGCCACTGATAGCACTGTCTGACAAGCTTTCCCATTGCTTGTCCAGCTAGGACCACCCTAGTTTTGGCTTGCAGGGTTAACAGGATCCATGATCCAAAATGGGGGCAGGCAGAATCCCCGCCCCCATTTTCTGCCCCCCAAGTGCTGCTGATGAGCCAGGCTGGCTGTGCTGTCGCAAGCAGTGTCCTGGAGTACTGCGGAACTGTCTGGCTCAGCAAGAGGACTACCGAGACCGCCACAGAGGGCTGGCTCAATTCTGATATTCCATTGCATTCTGCTTACCTCATTCTGTAAAGTATTAGGTGCAGGTTGGCAAAACCCTGGGGACTCCAGAGTGTGCGTTGGGGGTACTGCTGGAGTCTAACCAGCTAAAACCGCATAGATTGCCATGGATAGCACTGTCTGGCAAGCTTTCCTACTACTTGTCCAACAAGGACCACCCTAACCTAGACTCAATCACCAAAACAATTGTTTTGATTTCTCTTTTCTATTACTACAGCACTTAAGTTAAAAGAGCTTTAAAAGAGATAGAGTACATTAGAATATACAGCACAGAAACAGGCCATTCGGCCCAACTGGTTTATGCCAGTGTTTATGCTCCACATGAGCCACTAGTTGTTGAATATGTCATATCATCTTTTTTTTATTACTGTTGAAGTGAATTCAGAGAAGAAATTAAATGAATTGCATTCTCTTATTTCGTACCTTTACTGAAAAGTTAATACGTGAAGAGAGATAATAACCCTTGAAATTGACCTTTTATCGGGGCAAAGTCTCAAAGGCGCCTTACAAAGGTTTATTGCAAAATGTAGTGACTGCGTAGGTTGAAGGTCAATTTGTTTTTAACCCCTCCCTCCCCCCCCACCACCTACACACACACACACACACATTGAGCAACCTCGCTTGATCGAGTCTCTGGTGGCGAGCAGTGTTGCAAGCGAAGACGTCAATCAGCAGTTGCCAGAAATAAATGTACGCTTGTAGCCCAGAGTCCACCAAACACGAGCCCAAACGTAGCCCAACCGCACGCCTTGCCCGCAATGGGTAGCGAACGGTCCAATTTAGGCGAGTGCTTTTCGAAACGGTGCAAGAAAAGATCTTCGAGGAGGAGGAGGAGGAGGAGAAGGAGGGGGGGACGTTTTGCAGGTTTTAATGACTTAGGCACCCGCCCAACGCCGTGTGTTTTCTTTATACACACACACACACACAGTAATAACAACACAAAACCCGCCCCAATTGGGCGTGAACCCGCCCAATCGGCGCCCGCGTGAGCTGCGGGGGGCGGGGGAGCTGCCCATCAGCGGGAGCGGCGCGGGGCTCGCGCGGTGCGGGCGGCGGGCGGGCTCCGGCTCTTGCGTCAGCGCGTCGTTGACGCTGACGCTGACGCTCCGGTCGCCTACGTGCCTTTGCCCTGACGACGGGGGAGAGGGAAGGGGCGGGTGAGGCAGTCAGGCACAGGCGGTGGTGGTGGGGGGGGAGGGGGTGTGTGTGTGTGTGTGGGGAGGGGGGGGGGGGCTGGGCTCGCCTCGCGCTGGTGGAGGGCGGCGGCGGACGTTAGCGGCTCCTCGCAGAGGGCGAGGGGAGCGAAGGAGGCGGAGACGGTGGGAAGTGCCGAGGACGAACACACACATATACACACACACTCACTCACTCACCACACACACACACACGCAGCGGCCCGGCTTCCCGCCCACAGCCACAGCTCCCCGCCGGCCGGGCTCCTCCACAGGGTGGGAGGGAGGGAGGGAGGGAGGGAGCTGCCCCTCCAACTGCCGCCGCCGCCGCCGCTCCTCCTCCTCCTGCTGCTGCTGCTGCTCCTGAGGGGCAAAGAAACGGGTAAATAACCTGAGTGATACTGATGATGGCGGCGCCGGCGGCGGCGGTGGTGGTGGTTGTGAGGCGCGGGGATTGTAACGGCCCCGGGGTGGGTGGGTGGGGGGGGCCTGGGGTCTGGGGGGGCCTGGGGTGGGGGTGTGGGGGGGCCTGGGGTGGGGGTGGGGGGGCTGGGGGGGGGGGGGGGTGTGTGGGGGGGGGTTTGACGAGTGACTGAGAGGCCGCGTCTCGGTCGCTGCTTCTGTTCCTGTCGTCGTGCGATGATGTGGTCGCTCGGCGGGTGGTAACGGGAAGGGGCCGTTGACGCCGGTCGCTTCGCTTCTTCTTCACGCCTTTCGGCCGGAGAGGGGGGGGTGGTGGTGGGGGGTGGGGGGGCCCTCACCGCCCGCCGGTTCAGTGGTGCCGGCTGTCGGGAGGGAGGGGGGGGGCGCGGCGTTTGTGTTCAGAGAGGGAGAGGAGGGGAGTCGGTTGGTTCCCTGACCACAGGGCCCCGCTCGTCGCTGCTGTGATGTGGATTTTTTTTTTGGGTGCGACTTGTTTGGTGTTTTGTTTTTTTTAAAAAAATAAATAAACTCTCCCTCCTCCTCTCCCTCCCTCTCCTCTCCCTCTCCCTCTCTCTCCTCTCCCTCTCCTCCCCCTCCCTCTCCTCTCCCTCTCCTCTCCCCCCCCTCCCTCTCCTCTCCCTCTCCTCCCCTCCCTCTCCTTCCCTCTTCTCCCCCTCCCTCTTCTCCCCTCCCTCTCCTCCCCCTCCCTCTCCCTCCCCCCTCCCTCTCCCCCCTCCCTCTCCTCCCCCTCCCTCTCCCCCCTCCCTCTCCTCCCCTCCTCTCCTCCCCCTCCCTCTCCTCTCCCTCTCCTCCCCTCCCTCTCCTTTCCCTCTCTCCCCTCCTCTCCTTTCCCCTCCTCCCCTCTCCTCTCCTCCCTCCCTCTCCCCCTCCCTCTCCCTCCCCCTCCTCTCCTCCCCCTCCCTCTCCCCCCCTCCCTCTCCCCCCCTCCCTCTCCTCCCCCTCCCTCTCCTCTCCCCCCCCTCCTCTCCTCTCCCCCCTCCCTCTCCTCTCCCTCCCTCTCCCCCCCTCCCTCTCCTCTCCCTCCTCTCCCCCCTCCTCTCCTCCCCCTCCCTCTCCTCTCCTCTCTCTCCCCTCCCTCTCCTCTCCTCTCTCCCTCCCTCTCCTCTCCCTCCCTCTCCTCTCCCCCCCTCCCTCTCCCTCCCTCCCTCTCCTCCCCTCCCTCTCTCTCTCCTCTCTCTCCCTCTCCTCTCTCTCTCCTCTCCCTCTCCTCTCCCTCTCTCCTCTCCCTCTCACTCTCCTCTCCCTCTCCTCTCCCTCTCTCTCCTCCCTCCCTCTCCCTCTCTATCTCCTCTCCCCCTCTCCCTCTCCTCCTCTCCCTCTCCCTCCCTCTCCTCTCCCTCTCCCTCTCCTCTCCCTCTCCCTCTCCTCTCCCTCTCCCTCTCCTCTCCCTCTCCTCTCCCTCTCACTCTCCTCTCCCTCTCACTCTCCTCCCCCTCACTCTCCTCTCCCTCTCTCCTCTCCCTCTCACTCCACTCCCCTCTCCTCTCCCTCTCCTCTCCCTCTCTCTCCTCCCCCTCCCTCTCCCTCTCTCTCCTCTCCCCCTCCCTCTCCTCCCTCTCCTCTCCCTCTCCCTCCCTCTCCTCCCCCCCTCCCTCTCCTCTCCCCCCCTCCCTCTCCTCCCCCCTCCCTCTCCTCTCCTCCCCCTCCCTCTCCTCTCCCTCTCCTCCCCCTCCCTCTCCTCTCCCTCTCCCTCTCCTCTCCCTCTCCTCCCCCTCCCTCTCCTCTCCCTCTTCTCTCCCTCCCTCTCCCTCTCCCTCTCTCCCCCTCCTTCCCTCCCCCCTTCTTCTTCCCCTCCCCCCCTCTCTCTTGCCCCTCACTCCTCTTCCTCGCCATCCCTCTTCCACTGTTCCCCTTCCCTCTTCTTTCTCCCCCTCCCTCTCCTTCCCCCCTCCCTCTTCTTCCTCTCCCCTCCCTCTTCTTCCTACCCCCTTCCTCTTCTTCACCCCCTCCCTCCCTCTCCCTTTCTCTTCCTCCTCTCCTTCCACCTCCTCCCTCTTCCTCTCTCTCCTTCCTCCCCCTCCCTCTTTCTCCTCCTCTTCCTCCTTCTCTCTTCTTCCTTCCCTCTTCTTCCTCCTTCCCGCTTCTTCCCTCTTTTTCCTCCTTCCTCCTCCTTCTTCCTCCCTGATCTCCCTCTTCCACCTTCCTCCCACCACCCTCCCCTTTCCTCTCATACCCCTTCCTTTTCCTCCCATCCTCCCTTCTCCTCCCGCCTCCCTCCTTTCTCTTCCCCTCTTCTCTTTTCTATTCCTCCCCTCCCTCTTCTTCCTCCCCTCCCTCTCTTACTCTTCCTCTGTTCCCTCTAACCCCATCCTGCTTCCTCTTCGTCCGCTCCCTCTATCCCCCTCTTCTCCTCCTTCCTCCCCCTCCTTCTTGTTCCTCTCCCCCTATCTTTTCTCCCTCTCCCTCACTCTTTCTCCCTCTTCCTTCCCTCTTCCTCTCTCCCTGCCGCTCCCCTCCCCCTCCCTCTTTCTCCCTCTTGTAACCTCTTCCTCCTCCCTTCCTCTTCTTCCTCCTCCCTCCCTCGTCTTCCCCCCTCCCTCCCTCGTCTTCCCCCCTCCCTCCCTCGTCTTCCCCCCTCCCTCCCTCGTCTTCCCCTCCCCCTCCCTCTTTCTCCCTCCCTCTTTCTCCCTTCCTCTTTCTCCCTCCCTCTCCATCTCTCCCCGTCCCTTCTTCATCTCCCTACCGCTTCCTTATTCCTCCCGCTTCTTCCTCCCGCTTCTTCCTCCCGCTCTTCTCCCACCCCTCCCCCCTCTTCTACCCCACCCTCTTCTAAACCCCCTCTTCTCCCACCCCTCCTCCCTCTTCCCACTCCTCTTCTAAACCCCCTCCTCTCCCACCCCTCCTCCCTCTTCCCACTCCTCTTTCCCCTTCCTCCTCTCTCTGCCCCTCCCACTTTCTCCCTCTATCCCCTCCCTCTTCTTTCCTCTGCGCCTCCCTCTTCTCTCCGCTCCCCCCACTCCCTTCCTCTCTCCCTCACCCCCCCCTTCTTCCTGCCTCTCTCCACCAAGCCCCTCCCTCCACACCTCCTTTGGCCTCTGGGATCCCTCCCCCACTTCAAACTGATTTGTAATCGAGTATTTTATATCAGTTATAATAGAAAGCTATAGTGTACTTTTTAAAGAATTTCATTGTTTTTTTACAGTTTACAAACGCTGTGTCGTCTTTAATGTGATAACTTTTTTGGGTGTGGTTGTTTGCATTTGCGGAACTGTACAGAGACGGTCATGACAAAGCAGGTTTAACTTGCAGCAATGTATCAGGAAAGAAAGACTGTGACATTCACTTTCTGCTTCAATGTGATACTGTAGTATCTTGGCATTTTCAAGTTTCACTGTAAGTTTTATGCTTAAAATGGTCTTAAGCAACTAAGGTGACCTAATAGTGTCAATGGTGGTTCTATTTACGCAACTTATGAAGATATCACTTTTCTTATGGAAGAACATCTCAAAGTACACTGAGATACTCTTTTAATTACCCGATTCAATACTAATTGGAAGTGTTGTCTCATTTTCATTTTGCTAAAATAATACAGTGCATCATTAACTTTAGTGGCAGTCCATTGCAATTCTCCAGGATGTTTCATACATTTTATAGTTTTGGGAAAACTATCAGAACATGAACATTAGAAATTGATTGTTAGAAATTTGTGGTGTGGTTGCACTCTTACCTTTGGATAGGAACATTGTGGATTTGAGTTCTATGTTGCAACTTGGAGCTCACAGTCTTGGTGACAATCCAGGAACACCCAGTGGGTGGGTGGGGAAAAGCAATGGATTTTTGGATGTACCAATTTAACAATAATCGTTGCATTTGATATGGTGCCTTTTCATGTCAGGAGGACATTTCAAAATGTATCACAGGATTTAATGTGTAACACGGCAGCCTAGTTGTGCCCAACAGTGTCCCGCAGCTGTGGAGTGAATGAAATTATCAATTTTATTTGTGGGGTTTTTGAGAACAGAACATTAGGAGAAATTCCCTTCTCTTTTCAAGCAGTGCCATGGGAACTTTAATGTTCATCCGGACCAAGCAGGTGGGACCTTGGCTTAGTGTCTCATCCGATGGACAGCACTGACAAGGCAACACGACACCTGCACGACACTGGAGTGTTAGCGTTGACAGGGCTTGAACCCTTAACCTCTGATTAAGAGGCAAGAACCTTACCAATTGAGCCAGTCTGATAGCCATGAGACTATTTTCAGTCTTGAAAGGGGATGACCTTCCATATATAACATTTTAAATAGGATTGAAAAAGTAAACCCAGATTAATACGTTAGGATGTACCAAGAAAGTAGGTGAGGACATAGGTTTAAGGGGCAATTTAACGGCAAACATTGGGAAGCATTTTGTTTCTCAGTGGGTGATTACCAACTATAACAAGTGGTTGAGGTCAGGATGCTGGACTCATTTAAAAAGGTAGGAGGACAGTGCGTATTCTGGAAGGCTGAAATCAAATTTGACCAGATCCTGTGACAAACTGCAATTGTGTCGAACAAGGTTCCCCAACACTGTTCAAAAAGGGAGGTTCCTCCAGAACCTGATCAACAATCTTAAAGATAAATTCACTTCATTTGCTGTTTTGGGGTCATTTTTGTGCAGAAAACTGTGAGGTCATGGAAGTTGTATGGAAAATGTAGGTCACTTGTTTGGTTGCTTCATCCTCCGCCCTCCCGACAGAGTTTTGTGGATTCAAGCTGCAAAATGAGAGCTCATTCAACGTTTGAGATAGGATGAGCATTAACCATGGGACCAGATAAACTGCTACGGAGTCCTGTAACAGTTTACCTAAGCACTCGCCTTGCAAGCGAGAGGACCCGAGTTCGATTCCCGACAAGGTGAAATATTGGGCATGTTTTCTTACTCCACACACCTCTGTTTACCTAGCAATAAGTAGGAACTCAGAAATAGAGGTCCCAGACTTTTTCGCCTCAAAGATTG